GAGGTCTGCCACACCATGTGGTCACCTCCGGGGCAGGCGGGAATCGAACTCATTCGGAAGCGGCTTTAGATTCTCAGTGCTGTGCCCCAACCCGCTGCGCCACCAGGGAGGGCCTTACTCTGAATTTTTACCGCAAATTTGCTAAGTCAACCCTAGTCGTTTCCTTTATCACCTCTGCCTGTAGACTGCTAACAGGAGCTCACTGCTGCTTGAATTTGCATTTGCTTAAGAGCGAGGTTTAATGTCAGCAGACGGTCCTCTGTTTATGGTTGCCAGACTGTGCACTGCGCCAGGGCACCCACCTGAAGGACCTGGCTGGGGCTGGCCAAGCTCTCCTCACCTGCACACGCACCTGCAAGGCAGCACGCTGCAGGCAGGGGGCGCTGCTTGGTATCATTTCTCTTGGTACCAAGACCTGGTTTAGACTTTGCGTAGAGCATTAGAATCCGGGTTTAGACTGAGCGTTAGAATCGGGTTTAGACTGAGCGTGGGTCAGTGGGGACCAGGTTCTCCCTGCATGACATATGCAGGCCTTAGCTGCCGGTGAGCAGTAGGATGCCCATCAAGTTTGAAATTCAGACTCAAGTAGAAGCTGGGGTTCAGGGCTTACGGAGAGGCTGGGCGGTGAGAGTGGGTCACAGGCTGGTGTAGTTCAAGGCCTTGGACCCTACAAAGAGGGCCTGCGGGGGACCTGACCCGCCTCCCGCGCCCACCCTGCCCCCTGCCCTGGCTCACCATCTGCGCTCACCACCGCCCTGATCAGGGTCAAGGTGCCCACGCGGACAGCCTCCTTGCTCACCTCCATCTGGCTGAGGAAGAACTTCATCAGCTCCTTGGGGTAGGAGCGGGCTGCGGGGGGAAGGGCTGCTTTAGTTCCCCAGCCAGGGGGCAATAGAGCTGCTGGGGTGGGGGCTGGGCTTATGCGGGGTGGTGGGGGCAGGGGCAAGGCCCCAGGGCGCCTCACCCAGAGCTATGAAGCAGTGGACGATCTCTGTCAAGTTCTGGCTGCTGTACTGCTGCTGGGCAGGGGCCTTGGCACACACCTGGGGGGAGGGGAAGGGGGAGCAGGGAGGGGCGAGGTCAGAGCCAGACCGGGGGTGCCCACCTGGCGGTGCCCTGGCCACGAGGCGGGCACCACGCTTCATGCCCAGCAGATGTGGGGGACACGGTGCCTCCACTGCCCACTGGCCACCCCCTGCGCCTTCGTCCACCGCGCACCCACAAGCCGGCTTCCTGCTGACCTGGCCTGAGACTGCCCAGCCCAGCCTGGCCTCACCTGAATGTGCAGTTCTGTGAAAATGGTGTGTAGCTGCATTTGGGGTACCGGGGTGTTGGTGATGACCGACACTTCCAGGATCTGTCTCAAGACCTGTGACAGACGGACCAACGGTGGCAGATGGCGCTGTCCCCACTCAGGACCAAATTCCAGGCCCTGCTCCGCGGGGTGCAGTAGCCAGCAGCAGCGCCCCGGGAGCCTGTTAGCAACGGCAGCCCAGACCTGAGGAGTCCGCCGCCCCCCGCTGCCCACACAGGACAGCCGCAGCCGACTAGCCCCAGCGAGTGTCTGCGCCCTGCTCTCCTGCGCCTGAGGGCCCCTTTCCGCAGCCGGCCACCCAGGGGCCCCTTTCCGCAGCCGGCCACCC